AAATTGCATTCATGACCATGATTTTCACCCAGACTTTTCGCTCAAGTCTAAGCTTTGTTTTCATCTTTATTTGTACTTAATTTTTTGGAAAGTATTATGGAAGTAATTCATGCTTATTGTGGAAACTTTGGAAAAGAAAGGGGAAAACATGAACAGTTATCCCTGAGTTGTAAGATAATGTTTTGGTCTATTTGCTATCTTTCAGTTAAAGTATTTGTGTGTATCTCTAATATAACATCATGAAACATTTCCCAAATCACTAATTATTTCCTACCAGTACTCTTGTGTAATTCATTTAGCTATTCTCCTCTACCACCCCCTATGTAAGCTGGCTCCAGTTTTATGTGTTTATTTATTTATTTATTTTTTGACAGACAACTGTTTAGTTTTTATTTCATAATTATAAACTTAACTCTGCAATCCAGCTAGATTGGAAGGGGTAAGGAAATTATGGAACCCAATAAACTGGCAAGAACACAAAGATTATAGAACATTCCAAGCAAATTGGGGTAAAGGGGTGCTCTCCTAAGCTACAGAAGGAATGGTCTGGTGGTTAAGATAAAACACAAGTCGAATTTATTAGAGTTGTCCACATCCCGCAATGGTGATCTTCTTGCTGGTCTTGCCATTCCTGGACCCAAGCGCTCCATGGCTGTCACAATATCCATGCCTTCTGTCACCTGGCCGAAGACCACATGCTTGCCATCCAACCACTTAGTCTTGGCAGTGCAGATGAAAAACTGGGAGCCGTTTGTGTTAGGTCCAGCATTTGCCAAGGACAAGATGCCAGGACCTGTATGTTTCAGGACGAATTTCTCATCCTCAAATTTCTCCCCATAGATGGACTTGCCGCTTGTGCCATTATGGTGTGTGAAGTCACTACCCTGGCACATAAATCCCGGGATAATTCTGTGAAAGCAGGAACCTTTATAACCAAATCCTTTCTCCCCAGTGCTCAGAGCACGGAAGTTTTCTGCTGTCTTTGGAACTTTGTCTGCAAACAGCTGGAAGGAGACTCGGCCCAAGGGCTCACCGTCGACGGCGATGTTGAAGAACACGGTGGGGTTCACCATGGCTGGTCATGGGCGGCTTCGGGGTGGCAGCGTCTGCAAAGCCCAGTTTTATATGTTTATAAACAAAACTGTGGTAAATGTCCTTGTACTTGTTCATAGTAACTTCCTTGGGAACATTTCCAGAAGTAGGATTACTCAGTCACTGTTTCATATACTCTTCTAACAACACCCTTCCTTGTCCTTCTTAATGAGGTGGGAGCCCTGGGAAGAGAAGGGAGAATCATGGCGTGATTAGTTGTTTGTATGACGTACTCCCACACCCCCTTCAGGCTTACTGACTTCTGTCTTTGCCTTAGCGTCTCAGACATGCCCTACTTTTCATGTCCGGAGGCCACTTTGGCTTGAGGAACATCTGTGGAACCTAAATAGACCAAGAAATCATCTGAGATTTGTAAAAAGCAACCAGCAGCTTGTCTTGACTCCTCCTTCTGGGGTAGACTGGCCCCTTAGCAATTAAGCCCACATGAGCTATAGACCTGGGAGACCCTATGACTTCAATCCAGGAGGAGTGTACAGCAGTGGCTCCTGTTATTTGGTGTTCAGGCTGATAAGGAGTGTGGATGGTGAGAGGATGTGGATTTCCAGTCTGGCACTGCCATACCCTAAACTGTGACTTTGTTAACATTTTGCAAAATGAATAACAAGTGATCAAAAAGACCCCTTTAGCTCCAATTTTCCCAGAGCCCAAGGTTTTTTGTTTTATCAGGGCCTGATTCGGTTGTCCCAATGATCCCACTTGGAAGACTATAGTGCTTTGAAAATGGAAAAGATTGGTGTTTCTGAGTGGAAAGAGTGGCAGGGAGCTTTGTGCATTTCTATTCTCCATGCTGAGGTGGTAGTTAAGTGATGCTGTTGGAAAGGGAATATAGCACCTTCAGAAGTTTAAATTGTTTTCTCCCTAAAATTTAAGAAAATCACACCTACAAATTAATTTATCTCCAGACAAATAAAATACGTTAACCTACAGAATGGTGTCAGGAAATGTTTGATTTGCAATGTTAAGAGTGAACGTTCTGCTCGGCCAGTGTGGCTCAGTAGTTGAGTGTCGATCCATGAACCAAGAGGTCACTGGTTTGATTCCCGGCCAGAGCACATGCCAGGGTTACTGGCTCTATTCCCAGTAGGGGGCATGCAGGAGTCAGCTGATCAATGTTTCTCTCTCATCCATGTTTCTATCTCACTATCCCTCTTCCTTCTCTCTCTAAAATCAATTAAAAAACATAAAAATTAGTTGTTATCATCATCATTTATAACTACTGAAGAGTAAATGAAAAATTGTCATGGGTCCTTTCTACTGATATAAAATGTACATTTCTTTATAGTATTACTTGGCTTCATGTAGATGAGATACATAAAGAGATTACATTGTCTATTCATAGTTTAGAAAAAAAATTGTATTTTTTTTCCTTCTCAACAATCAAGCCATATTTAAATCTGTCTACTTTGTGTCATTATTGGTGGGTAAGGCAACTAATTCTAATTAAATTCCATTGCGAACTTAAAAAGAATATCAAAATTCTTTTTATTCTTTACTAGAATTGCACCTTAAAAATTTAAACTAGGCCCTGGCTGGGTAGCTCAGTTGGTTAGAGCAGTGGTCGGCAAACTGTAGCTCGTGAGCCACATGCGGCTCTTTGGCCCCTTAAGTGTGGCTCTTCCACAAAATACCGACTTCTGCGCATGGGCCACAAAGTTTCAATCGCACTGTATGTGCGCGCCCGCACGTGGTATTTTGTGGAAGAGCCACACTCAAGGGGCCAAAGAGCCGCATGGTGGCTCGCAAGCCGCAGTTTGCCGACCACTGGGTTAGAGCATCGTCCTGATACACCAAGGTTGCAGGTTTGATCTCTGGGTCAGCAACCAATGAATGCATAGATAAGTGGAACAACAGTTACCTCTCTCTCTCTCTCTCTCTCTCTCTCTCTCTCTCATTTCCCCTTCATCTCTCTCTCTCTTAAAGCAATAAATATTTTTTATTTATATAATTATTTATACTATTATTTAATCCCACCTAAATTATCCATTTCCAGAGTCATTTGCTGCCACTATTTCCTCCCTTCTGCTTCCAACTCCTCCCCTTTTCTGTTTGTTCCTAGTTAGCCATGACCTCTCAATAAAGTTTCCACTACAGTTATCCACAGGACTTAAGTTCTTCCTTACTGAGTTTTTTTTGTAACTGCCCTATTCGCTATATTTCTTCCCGCTTTGTAAGAGTTGGTGTAATCAGCAGTATAGAGAAAATGCACATGGCCAGCACTGATGAACCCTCTGTTGATGTGCCATATTAATTTGGGTTGTTTGTTTGTAGTTTAGAAATCAGTTCAAGTCAATATGGTTTGACAGCAGGATATAAAATCAATGCAAATCACTTTGTAGTATGATCCTAGCTTTTAGAGAAGATGATTCCACTAGTTTATATAGTCATTCAGCAAACATTCACTACAGGCCTGCTGTGTACCAACTAGTATTCAGTACTAAAGATACAAGGACAGACATACTCAGGGTCCCTGCTTCCTGGTGGGGGTGCCTGAGGGCAAATCATGTTCTTGATACCTCCCCAAGATCCTGTGGCTGCATCATGAACAAGTCACTATCCATGAGCAAGTTACTTCTCTAGTTCTATGCTTCCTCATCTTGTTAATGAGATGATTTTCCTACTTTCTCCTTAATGTCCCTTTTAGCAGTAAAAGAGTCAGTGTCTAATTATTGCATATTTTTCTTGGAATTGCATTATCACTGCTTGGGTCCACCAGCTACAGGTTGCAATTAAAAACAAACAGGGGGGCTCCAGGGTTACTGGTTCTTTCTGTGTGGAAGGAGCTTGGAAGTCACTGCTCCATCCTAACAAGTAAAAAGTTGAACAGACTGAAAAATCAACAACTCTTCCTGAGTCCATAGGGAAGGGAGGACACAGGGCAAACTATTGCCCCCCAGATTGGAGAGACATTTAAGCCCATACAGGCACTTGTGCCTTCCCAGAGCAGAAACCCACAAGTAATACAATGAAGCAAAGATAGTCTCTTCAACAAATGTTGCTGGAACAACTGGACATTCATATGCAGAGAAATGAATCTAGACCAGGCCTTCCACCTTTCACAAAAATTAACTCAAAATGGATCTCTGTACCGTCCCTCAATTTTATAGTAAACCTAAACCTGCTCTAAGAAAATTAAGTCTTTTTAAGAGGTGATAATAAAATAAAAAGGGGGCAGTCAAATAATGCTTAATTTAAGAGCTTCTGTCTCAAATTAAAATTTTTGAACCTCTAGTAATATCTGCTTTTCCTTTCCCACAATTTCACTCATGTTGTTCATAAATCTTAACTATGGGGTTTTGGTTCCCTGTTAGGCAAAAATTTTCATTAACCTGTCAAAGCAGACTCTAGACCAGCCGTGGGCAAACTACTGCCCGCGGGCCGGATCCATCCCGTTTGAAATGAATAAAACTAAAAAAAAAAAAAAAGACCGTACCCTTTTATGTAATGATGTTTACTTTGAATTTATATTAGTTCATACAAACACTCCATCCATGCTTTTGTTCTGGCCCTCCGGTCCAGTTTAAGAACCCATTGTGGCCCTCGAGTCAAAAAGTTTGCCCACCCCTGCTCTAGACTCAGAGTAGCCTGAGAATAGTTAGCAGCCTCCCTTCCTTTAGAACATCGAGAGGCTCTGTATTGTTTTGTTTTTCTTATTTGTTTATATTTAGGAGAAGGGGGAGTCATTGCCTACTTAGGGTGCAGCATTGCCTACTTAGCTGCTGCACGTGCTGTGCTTTGGCCAGAGACTTAAGTAGTAACACCACCAGTGCCCATCACTGGAGCCAGTCTGCTCCAGTATCCGCAGGCCTAATTTCTGCTTGCAATCTGATTACGGGGTTTGAGCTATTCCAGCCTGCAGCCTCTTGCTTTGCCTTTATCATACTCTCAAGGACACGAGTGTCTGATTGCTCTAGCCCTGCGCTGTGAAGTCTCATCCCAGTGCAGCTTAGAGCAGCTGGAGGCTGTGACTGGTTGTGAATTAGCTGTAGTGCAGTCTCTGTTACTGCACTTTCTGTGTGTAACTATGATCAGAAGCCCAGGGTTTTCCAGCTATTTGGGAGCTTTCAAGTTCTCTGAGAAACAAGGTAAGGCAAGAGAAACTGAAAATGCACTTCTGTGTATATTTTATAACATAATGAATGCCTTGTATCCATTTTACCTTGTATTCTCCTGAATCCAGTTAGTTATACAATTTTCTCAAAGGACACTTTAAATATCTAATTGAGTTTAAATTAGCTTATTTTGGGATTGCTGAAAAATGTAATATTTTTTTCTGTTATAACTTAAAGATATTACTAAACCACTAAAGCCTTATGTAGGAAAAAAATGCCAATTCAAATGGAATGCCCAAACTTTGGATCAAGTTCTGAACTTTAGCTAAAATATTTTTCTAAACCAAATGCTATATATTAAATTATTTCCAGTAGGCAGTGGTGAATGTCTTTTTTATTAAAGCTTCATGTGAAATATTTTGGAAAAAAATGTTGTCTTTTAGTGGCTTCCTTTCTAGCACAGAGGAAAATATATGCTCTTAATTTAACCACGGAAGTGGTGTCACTGACTCAGTTCACTGATTGAGCAACGATGAAATGCTGAGGTTATTTTGAATGTCACATTTGAAATCCAGCTATTGTATGTGAAAGTATTTTCTAGCACAAATGCACTACTAGGAAGTGATTGGAAGAGTTCAAGTCTCAGATTCAGGAATTTTCTTCTATAATATTTGATAGCTTTTGAACTGAGTTCTCTTTTTAAAAAATATGTAATTAGGTATTTGTAAAACTCTGAGAAAACCCTACATGTTCAGTTGGCAGTGTTCTTTTCATTTTATTATGTTTCTCTAGTTGGTCAGACTTTCCAGATTCCAGGATACTGGATGTATTGTGATGGATAATGATATGTCAGCATGTGGTGTATTCTGTACCTCCTTTTCCTCAGGCTTTTGACCCCAAATATTAACCAGTAAAAGGCACTTCCATAGGGGAAGGTTTCTGTAAGTGGCCACTTGTGGTTTTCTTGGTGGACAAATGGTTGCTATGCCAAAAGCTGTAAAACAGATTACTTGCCATTAGACTGGTTATAAATTTGTCTGCAACTGGTTTTGATTAACTGGTTCACTCGATGTTTGTTTTTGCTGCAAGGGATTGTTCCCAGCTGGCTTTACATCACATCCATTTTGTCTTCAAAAATAAATAAGTGGTTTATTTGATGTGTTGTTATTTTTTAAGTTTTAAAGAAGGCAATAAGAACATGACTAAAGCATCCCCCTGCTCTTTGCCCTCACCTCATGCAATCTTTAAGAGCATCTCAAATATATCAGACAGTAATGATTTTCAACATTTCTGGTTACTTTGTTCAAAATTTTTAACTATATTATTCAATATTTAATTGCTCTGAGTTAGTCTTGTAGCTATATGAATTTAAATGATACCATTGAACTATGTCAGATTTTTTTTACCCACAGATTATATTGACTTTCTTTCACTAGGAAAACTAGAAACCTTGCTATGTAAAATGTATATTGTTGAATGTGATTCTTAGAAGGTGTCACTTTTTTAATTCATTATTCTTGTCTTGTTGATGGTTTCATTTTTCTTAAATTATATGTTCAAGAGGAGTTTGAAGAACTTTCTCATTACTTTTTTTTAACTTACTGTATAGCTAACTCAATGTTACATTATTTCTTTACCCTTAGATTTCAACAAGGAAAACTTAAGCTTTATTGGATTCCCACATCAAAGGAAAGTTCCAAGGTAAAGTGGTCTTTGCCCAAGAAATCTTGTTTTGAAGATTTGTAATAGCTTTTAAAATTATCTCCTAAGTTCCTAATTTACCCTTTTAAATGTTTGTCAATATATTTTCTCTCCAGAGTTTGGTTTGTTAAAATATATGAAGCAAGCTAACTTAATAGTACATTGAGCCAGCAAAGATTATTTTTATGTATTTAATACTGTTTGTAGGAACTATTTACAGAACAGGATGTTGATGTTTCTGTAATTGCAAACTTGTAAAGAGCTGTTATCTTTTTTTTTCTCATATCTACCTCTAAGCACGGGTTGTCCTTTTGCAATCTGTCCATCGAGTAAGCTTTTGCTTTTGCTTCTTTAAAAAAGGGCTTAGCTTTGTTTCTCCTCCTTTTCTCCCTTTTCTTTTCTTTCCCTCCTCCTCCCTCTCACCCGCTGCCTATCCATCCATTTGTCCACATGACATGGTGTTGCTCTTTTAACCTTTTTGCACTTCAGTTTCCTTGGCTGCAGGGTATTATGGGTGCTAATTTGATTTACCCAGTGTGCTACAACTCTGTGATGCATCATCACAGATATCCTATATAATAAAAGGCTAATATGCAAATTGTCCCCACGGGTGGGAGTTCGACCAACCGGGAGTTAGACGTGCACTGACGACCAGGGGGCAGTGTGAAACATGGTGGGTGTCGGTGACGTGGCGCTGGCAGTGGAGTCACTGCCGGCCCTGATGGGCCCCAACAAGGGCAGGACTGTGGCGGGATGGTGGAGCAGGTGAACGGGTGGTGCCAGGCGAAGGCAGGTGTGAGCGGGGGCCCTGATCGCCCCACTGGTCCACAGACAGCGATCAGCGGCAGCGGTGGGAGGCGGGGCCAGCGAGCGGGCGATACCAGGCCAAGGCATGTGCGAGCGGGGAGCCCCTAATCACCCTGCATGTCACCCCACAGATTGGCCCTGATTGCCAGCCAGGCCTAAGGACCCTACCTGTGCATGAATTTCGTGCACTTGGCATCTAGTAAGATAATACAAAAGTTAAAGTTTGTGCCAAACAAGATAGCTATATCTCAGGTCTTCTTAGATTACTGTTCCTAATAGATTTTGAGATTTTCATGTAGAGGAACAATGTTATTTATCCCTTACACAAAGGTATGGATCTCAGCCTACACTTCCTTATGCTAGAAGGACCCAAATCCATCTACACCTAACTCCACTCAGATGTTCTTATCCCTAATATTTATGTTTGGCATTATTTCTTTACTTAAAAGGTTTGCATTTCAATAGCATTGGAATAAACAGTTGTCTGACTTCTGTCCTCATCAGGCTAAGCCTGGCTCTGCATTTGAAAATGGCAGAGTTGAACGTATGCATACACAAGAGGGGATAAAGGCTTGATGAATTTCATCCACATTTTAGTACCAGGTAAACTAGAGCAGTAATGAGTCAGGGTCATCGGGAAGGTTGTTTTATTTGAGTCATGAAATCTTGCTTTTCTAATGCTTGACACAATTTCCCATATTTCTCATCTTTGCCATATTTTTAACAGGATCTAAGGCTGATGTTTTAGTTCATTCAGGCTTCTGTAATAAAACAGCATACACTGGGTAGCTTATAAATAATAGAAATTTACTCCTTACAGTTCTGGAGGCTGGAAATCTGAGATCAGGGTGCCAGAATGGTGGGGTGAGGACTGTCTTCTGGGTGCAGATTGTCAATTTCTAATGTCCTCACTTGGCATAATAGTAAAAGGAGGTCGCTGGGTCTCATAACAGCACTGATCTTCATGAGGGCTCATCCTCATGACCCAATCATCTTCCAAAGACCCCCACCTCCTAACATCACCATTTTTGGGAGCGTTAGGATTTCAACATATGAATTTGAGCGAACCCAAACATTCAGACTATAGCAGCTTCATTTCCAAGAGGACCCTAGCAGGTTGGTTTAGCTTTAATAGTGACTAAGAAAAAGGAATAAATGGGAGGGGAGACAGGAAGATAGCGCTTATTCAAGGATAGGAAAAGCAGAAAATATGAAGGTCAGACACCTCTGTGGAGAGAAGCTCAGAGGGACATAGCTGTTCTGACATGGTGGGTATTATTTCATGTGTACCTGTGAAAATCATGGCCTCCTTGCCATGGTACTAAGTGTCAAATGGGCTGGAGATGCACGAACCTGCCTTCTTCAGAGAAGTCAAGTCAACCAGACACCAGAGGTGAAAATATTAGGCAATGGGTTTTGGATTCCCATAACTTATAATTTAGACTTCAGTAGGAGAATGAACAGATTGTGGGGGAAGTCTTTAACAACGTGGGTGCTGAATAGTCAGTGTAAAAGTAGATCCCACATTTTGTAAAAGATAGAAGGTAATAACAGCAGAGTATCCTGCTCTCACTTTAATAAAATTTCCCCTTGTTGCTACTGCTGGACATTTAAATAGGTTAATGGGACACATTAAACAAATGACCATGGAAGCTGGGGGCAGTCTCTTCTTAGATTATGGAAACAGAGAGAAGGGGGCAGACTAATAAAAAATAGTCATAAAGAGTGAGCAGTGATTCAGAGGAAATGAAGATAGATTAAAAATGCAAATGGTGCCTCTTAATTTAATTATTTTAGTTATATGTGGAGAAATGGTTTCATACTGAAATATGGGACCATTTGGTTGAGCTATGGCAACCCTCCAAGGCCTGCAGAAGTTGTCCAGGGAGAGACCCCTTCTCCCGGAGGGGATGAGTGATGAGTAGGACCATGGCCCTGAGCAGCATCAGGGGCTCAGTGCTTGAGTTAGCAATCATGTGAGTCCAGAAGGGACCCTAACAGTCACCGCTGCTCAGAAAAGTGAGAGGAGGAGGATGTTAAGGCTCTTTTGGACAATCATGTTTCATCAGCCATTACATGATCAGAAAAATGACTCATTCACACATGATCCAGAACTTAGTGAGGACCATCATTAGTGTATCTTGTCTGCATTTTCACTGCTGACTATGCCCTTGGGTATAGAAAGTCCAGGGAAGAGACATGACTTTTTTCAAAACGTGGTTTCCTATTGACTTGAGGGGTCTTTCTTGGTCACAGCTTTTGTGACGTGAGTCTGAGCCATACTTTCTAACCATTTCTCCTTATTCTTCTGATCTGCTCACCTGCTTCCTCAGAAGTTGTCGATCATTTAGTGGGAATAAGAGAGAGGTAACATAAGCAAGAACAACATGTAAAGACAAAGCACAAGGATTCCAGTAATAAAAATTACCCTCAAGATGGAGACTTAAAAATAGAATAAGTTTATAAACCTATGGAAAGAATACTGATGTTTTCATTCATATATGCAAGGTAAACAAAGGTGATAAGGAGAGATGTTTTCCCAATCACATATTCTAAAGATGAAAGAAGGAAATAAAGAAAGGAAGGAAGGAAGTCTATCACTGATACTATTAAATATACGCCCTTCTAATTCTCAATATTTAAAACTCTGTGTCCCTACCACATCAACATTGTATATAGTGTATACATAAAATACTTCAGAGTGAGTTTAGCATACATTGAAAGTATTTTATTGTAGTCATTCATTATTTCATTTATTCAGCATATATTTATTGACTTTAATAAAAATAAGACACTTGTAATATAGTCTACAAATAGGAAAATAGGATACAATTTGAGAGAATAACAGGTGCATAATGTAGATTCGGTGCTGGGTGGGACAGGCACTGCCTGGGTCAGGGGTTCTTCCTTGAGGAAAGAACTTTACACTGAGGCCCAGACCAGAAGAGGACTCAGCCAGGATGGAAGGAGAGGCTGGAGAAGAGGAAATTCAGGTCCAGGCAGCGTTTATAGTAAACCATGTTAAAGAGGCATGAGAGATGTTCCTGATAGTGCTTTGGTTTTCCATTGGTTTTTGACCAGCTGTGAAAGGCTGTACTTTTGATTGGTGCTGACACTATTTGTAGCTTGTTTCAAGAGAGTAAGTGCATATGGAGCCAGGGGCTGACAGGTGATGACTTGTAAACTCTGTAAAAGTTCAGCAAAATGTTTAACTTGGGGGTGATTTCTTAGTCTTCATTAGTGGCTTTATTGAGCTTTTTGATAAGCAGAAAAAAGGGGGGGGGAAATAGAAATATATAGAAGTTTATTTTTGAAAATATGAGATAATATTTGTACCCCAAGGCCAATGGCTTAAGAAGCTAAATATTCCACGCATTGCATCATTTTGTTTTAATATAGATTTTTTCCCTGAGATTTTAGTTTCCCAAAGTACAGAACTTTATGAAGATTTTTAAACAATAAGTTAATCGATTAAAATAGCATGTCCTTCCTTAAGTGGGGCACATTTCTGCAATTATTTAATTTCTTAGGTTTATACTAAGTCATACATATGAATAAAACACTGAAAGGAGTCGTTACTGCATTACAATTCACTATTTAGAAGTCAGTGCTAATCCTAAGTTTCTGATCTAAGCAGGTTTCCTGGGATCTTTTTAAGCCTTTTGGACTGTGATTTATAAACACTGGTTAGTTTCAAGCCTTTTTCTTAAATAATATAAATACATGACACTCCTATTTATAAACATAAGCCATACCACATTCTTAGGCAATAACCGAGGCTTCAGATGAACTTGGTTCTAGGAAGATGGGTTGATGTGCCATGCTGTGGATTGTGTGCAGGTTCCTTGACATTTAATTTCCATATCATACAAATTATCCCTGTGTCCCACTTACCCAGTATGCACAGCACCCTCTCAATCTGTTCTTGAGCTGTGTACCCTGTAGGACAGTACATGGGGAAGATCAGCTTTGCATTGAATGTGTTTTCAGACCAATTGTTCACCTCTCTGGAGGTGATTACCTCATTGGGGAATATTAGTTTTTTTGTTTTCCTTCGTTTGCTTTCTTCCTGCGCAGCAGTAACTCTATCTTGCCCAACTCTAGGCACGTTCCAATGGAAGACCGTGGAGTTGTCCATATAGCTGTCTTGGGGCTGCACTGTGCATAGTGTTAGAGCAGGAGCTAGAGTTACTAGTATATCTTATGTACTCTTCTTGCCAAATATGTGTTCTTGGGCAAGTCATTTACCAGTGTCCTAGTCGGTAAACCAAGGATGATAATTGTTCTGGTGGCATGCTGGAGCCAGCTCCAGTCCCTATCAGAGCCACTGTGTGTCTTGCAATTTTTAGCTCTGCGAGTTCTATGGAGAGCCTGAAAATTGGCCGTAGTGGGCGTATTTACACTGCCAGCTAAATGAACAAAGCAGGTGCTTTTGGGGAGGAGGGAGACAGGCACCCAAGAGGAAGGAGCTAGTTATTAAACATTTATAAGACCAGCATTTAGTTCCCACCTCATAGCATCTTGTGACGGTAACTAAGGTAATACGTGGGATCTCTTAGCACAGAAGGAAAGGACATAGTAAGTGCTCCATCCCTTTATTCTTCTTCCCTTTCATTTCCTCTTTTTTCTTCCCAGACACATTTTCATGAGGCTTTTAGACCTATTCACCATGCTTTGATCGCTTGGTTGTTAGAAGACATTTGTTACTTTAATATAATTTCAAAACAGGAAAGCATGTGAATCACCTAGACAGTGGTCGGCAAACTCATTAGTCAACAGAGCCAAATATCAACAGTACTTCTTCAAAATAGACTCGCCCAGGCCGAAAACCGACTTCTGCGCATGGGCCACGAAGTTTCAATCACACTGTACGCGTGCCAGCATATGGTATTTTGTGGAAGAGCCACACTCAAGGGGCCAAAGAGCCGCATGTGGCTCGCGAGCCGCAGTTTGCCGACCACGGAGTCCTAGACAGATTGCTGATTTTCTGAGGAACAAAGTGTAGCACAGAAAGGTCAAGCGAGTGATCCAAGCTGAAACAGCTAGTGGTGGCTCTAGATGAAGTGGTCAGGCTGAACGATGTTTTTACCACCCTGTGCCATGCTGCCTGCCTATGCGAATGAAATTATTTAGTTGTACAAAAAAATAATATTAACATAACTGTAAGTAAATGAAAAAAGTTACCAATTCCCCAAAATAAAACTTTTTACTTATAATCTATATATACACATTTAAGTATATATAACAGTAGCAAAATTTTTATGTTCTATCTTTTTTTTACTTTATGTCATATATCTTGATTTAAATTAAATTGCAACATTTTATTAACGGAGATATTTTTAGCTTTCAGAAAGAGTTCTTGCTTGAAAATAAAGAACAACTTACTAACTGTGAAAGAAGAATCAATGCTAAACTTTTAACTGCACTTCCTAAAGGTAAGACTTTTTCTAAATAGTTGACCAGAATCCTGAGCATATAACTATTGTGTTATCTGGGGTTTTTTTTGTTTATTTTTTTTGAGAACTCTTAAACCTCCAGCATATATTCTCCTTTGTGTCCCTTTCTGCCTCATCTAAGAATTAACCTCAATTAACCTTTCCTCTCGCATTTTTAATCCTCACCTTACTATGTATTCTTTCCCTTGCATTTCAGGCATCCTCAAGTTTTCACTGGAGGCTGGGGGTCGGGGGTGGGGTGAGAAGGTTCCCTAGAATCAACCTTACCTTGTTCCTCTCTCCTAGCTTTCACCATCTCCTAAGGCGGTAAGTTCTGCTCATATGCCCATTTCTTTTCTGTTCACACACCCCCTTCCTCCAGCCTCTTGACGTTTTCCAATGTTACGGCATTTACGCTCAGTATCTTGTAGCTCCCCACAGGGCTACAACACTGCACCTGAGTTCAGACTGTCTCTTCATTACCTCTCTTCTTCCCCAAGTCGGCACTTCATTTGTCGAATTCATATTGTCATTGGTAAAGATGCACATGCAGTAAAATATTTTCAGCTGCTATTAGTTGAGGACCCCTAGTTTTGCCTGTGAAGTGATATGAACATTACCTGATCTTTGTCTCTACCCACTGTAACACTATCATGGGGTAGTACCAGCTTACAGACTGTCTTTTTCCTGAATGAGCTGTGTAACCCTTACTTCAGAAGAAACAGGTTTGGCACAAGATCAGATTATTTTTCTACTTAGGAAAAAAACAACCACCCACAAAATCAAGCCCAAAAGAAATTATCCCAGAAAAAAAATATTTTAATAGAAACTAAAAGTTTAAAAGGTTCACTGACATGCCTTAACTGGTTTGGCTCAGTGGATAGAGCATCGGCCTGCAGACTGAAGGGTCCCAGATTCGATTCCGGTCAAGGCCATGTACCTTGGTTGCGGGCACATCCCCAGTAGGGGGTGTGTAGGAGGCAGTTGATCGATGTTTCTCTCTCTTTGATGTTTCTAACTCTCTATCCTTCTCCCTTCCTCTCTGTAAAAAAATCAATAAGGTGTATTTTAAAAAATAATAATAATAAAATAAAAGGTTCACTGACAAATTGAGGTATATTCTAAAGAATTGAATGGGTGATATGCCTAGACATAGTCTGGTAAAGGTGGATATTTGAAGGACCCAGGCCTGGTGGAGAACGCTTAAACGGGTCATTTTGTCAAGTACTTACAAAACTGGCAACTGAAATATAGGCTTAATTCTAAGTTGCTCCAGAGGCCAACAATAAGAATGTGTAGAATTATAAGGAGGTAGATGAGATTTCATATAAGGAGGAAAATTCTGGTAATTCATAGAACCGAGAGTGAAATGGCCTGCATTGTGATCTCATCAACTCTCCTCATTAAATCTACAAGGCAGGTCATGTGACCATGTACTCAGGTAGGAGAGAGGCTGTGGAGGATTGCTATCTGGATGGGTGTGTGGACCAGGTATGGAATGGAAGGGTCCTTGCAATTTCTAAGACTTTGTGAAAGACAGAGAAACTCTATTTAATCTGAGCCAAATTTAAAATATATGAAGATAATCAGAACAAAGTAGAAGAATGAACAGATTGATTTTAAAAATAGTTTAGAAGATTTGACTGATTAGGCAAAGTTCTATAGAGCAAAAGTCTTTTCTACCTGTATGAAGGCTCCTCTCTACCCCAGTTCTTTTTTTTTTTTTAATACTATAGACATTAGGATTTGAAAAATTAAAAGCAATATGAAATGCTAAGTTCTTTATGTATAATAAAGTTTTAAAACACATAAGCTTAGTAACCAGTTTTATTAGAAATTTTATCACAATAAAACATAATTTTCACACATCAGAGATTTATATTTCTAAATTGACAAGCTCTCTAAAAGATGCTTAAAAGGTACCAGAGCCCTGCCTCCCTGAATTTTGCCTGAATTCCCACAGTTGTTTTTCACAACCTTTATGATGTGGGCTAGCCCATGCATTACAGGAAAATTTTTCATTTCATCATCATGACAGATATGATAATGATTCTAATAGCTCTTGGCAATACAATGTTAAAAATAGGAATTAGGACTTTTAATGGCAGAGTTTTATATTTGTTTAGAAGTTTCTTTCTCTTCATTTAGTGAGAGTTTTTGCTTCTGTGAAACTAAGCATTAAATTCATCATTGAGTTTCCTCTCAGGGACTTCCTTTAACTGTGTCACCAACAGGTAATCAAGGGATTAAAAATCTTTACCTATATGAAGACTATAATATTAAAATAGATTTTCCATTTAGTAATTATGAAATGCTCCAAATATATTACTCTACCTTTTTAATAGCTCCTCTGAGATATATTTTATATACAATTCAGCCCATCCATTTGAAGGAGGCTGTTTCACTGGCATTCACAGGGCTGTACATCCATCCCACAGCCAGTTTTAGAACATTTTCTTCACCAAAAGAGAAACCCCACACTTCTTAGCCATCACCTTTTCCCCTTAACACTCTAATTTTGTAATTACTTATTTTATAAGCTGCTTGTCTTTACATTAGTGGCTTTCATCCAAGTGTAAAGTTAAAGTGCTTCCTCCTGGAGCAGAGGAATATTCTGGACCTGGCCTGTCCTCTTCAGCTGTCAAATGCAGTGTAAGGGAGATGAGTTCTTGGCAGTCCCCCTGCCACTTATGTTTCTTTAGAAGATCTGTGTACTCAGGTTTGGAGGACTGAACTCCACAATAACTTTACCAGAAAGCCTATTTCTTAGAGATAATGAAGAACTTAAGTTTCCCAAGAAAAGCACCTGGCAGACCTGAATATTGGTATTAAATATTATTACAAAGCAAACTAGGCAGTTAAATAATTTTATGTACCATTATAGCCCTGATATCAAATCCCCTCAAATTGTCTTACTTGGAAAATAACTGAAAAATTCCCATCAGAAATTACTAAAAATATAGACTCATAAATACATATTGTGCAAGCAAGGGCAGCAAACTAAAAAGTGGGTATGATAAAGGGATAATTTAGTACATGTCAAAGTCTTAATGTCTTTGAAAGCAAAGTAGAAAATTTATTACAACAGAAGGTAGATCAGCTGTGCTTGTTTATATGTGGATTACTATTAATCACTATTACCATTTCCTGAACCATTTATGAATTGTATACATTATGACACAGCATAAATCAATTGAATTCTGGTTGAGTAATTGAATTTTTAAAACATTCTTATTCCTTATTTTTAGAAAATATGAAGAATTTAGAGATACAGGGTCATCATGCTGTAACTTACTCTTAAATTGTTTATAAAAATGGATATGTAAATATGTGTGCATGTGTTTTATATACTACAAATATACATATGAAGAGAGAAAAAAGGATAAAAGTAAACCAAATATAGTGAAATGTTAGCATATTATGAAGGATGTCTCTTAACTTTACTGTAAATCTGAAATTATATAAAAATGTTAATCCTCATCCAAGAATATGTTTTAATTGATTTTTAGAGAGAGAGGAAGGGCGAGAGAGGCGGGGGAGAGAGAAACATCAATTGATTAGTTGCCTCCTGTACGTGTCCTGACCAAGGATCGAACCTGCAACTTAGGTATGTATTCTGACCAGGAATCAAACCCATCACCTTTTGGTGTATGGGTTGATGCTCCAACCAAGTCATCTGGCCAGGGCTGAAAATTTTAAAGGAAAGAAACTTCTTTTGATAGACCATGAACAATAATAAACTATAATCAAGACTATTAGGTAGAAGATAGCTGTGGTAGAACCGTAGGTAGTATCTATAAATGAAACAGTGGACTGACAACATTAGATTTCTACAGCAAGGGAAACTATTATAATTTCCTAGTATTAGCTTTTTTCCAGTGTTTGTGATAAGCCTGACCAGATTTTAGTGGACCTGAGGAGGACTACAAGTCCCCATATGAGGTGTTTGTTTTCTTCCTGGAAAGGGATGATAAAGAACACATCACCGATTCAAATAAAGCCTCATTCTCTTTTATGAAACTGAGGTCTTTTCCCATGGGATAGATATATTAGAATAATTATATTACATATTGTTTTACTGATTTTACTTTTAAATTATAGACTTAGGGAAAGGAAGCCAAACTCAAGGTATCTATTACTTCTTTTTGTCTTCCACATTATTCCTTTCTTCTCTAATCTCATGTCTATAAGAATGAGGCAAATCTTGATAATTAAAAATATATTTGTAAGAAAGAACAGATTGAGAGCTGATTTATTTGCTGGTGGATTTTTTTATTTTTCTAATATACTTACTGTAGATTTTCACTAAAATCAATAAACTCACTGATACATTTAAAGTATAGTTTGATTTATGACCTCATTGCATTTCTCAGTATATGATCAGAGAGGACTATAAGATTTTAGGCTAGAAATCGTTTGAATCTAGGCTTGATTGAAAAGAGTGCAGCGATGGGCTAGTGGTGTCTGTTATTAGTATACCCTATGGCAGTGATGGCGAACCTATGACACGCGTGTCAGAGGTGACACATGCAAACTCATTTTTTTGGTTGATTTTTCTTTGTTAAATGGCATTTAAATATATAAAATAAATATCAAAAATATAAGTCTTTGTTTTACTATGGTTGCAAATATCAAAAAATTTCTATATGTGACACGGCACCAGAGTTAAGTTAGGGTTTTTCAAAATGCTGACACGCCGAGCTCAAAAGGTTCGCCATCACTGCCCTATGTCATAATCTCAGGAACAGACTGCCTTTTGGAAATCTCTGGGCTGAGTTCAATGGTTCTCAGTCCAGGACAGAATCATTTCAAGGGGGGCTTGGCAAACTCATGGGAACATTTTTGAGTCACAACAACTGGAGATGATTTGGCATTTAGTAGGAGAGCCATGGCTACTCACCATCCTGCAGTTCAAGGCTTACAACAAAGAAATTGCCCATTCAAAAGGCCATAATGATCTGTGATCTACTCCAGAGCCAGCCTCTGTGAGTCTGTGACCCTGATGTAGTGCAACTGTATGTCTGCTTAATGCTATCCCGAGACTTCGTATACCTAGCAGTGAATGGCTAACAGGGGACAGTGTTCACTTCTGGGTTGCCCAGCCTGTTTTGTTCAGAAAGCACAGAGATCCTAATGGACAGTAGGATAACTTGGCTTACCTGCCCTGTCCCTCTCTTTCCTCTCACTGCCCCAGACTTCTTGGTCTTCAGTTTCTGTGATGAACTATATTCTGACCATCATTTAGCTTGCCCCCTTCTCACAGTATCTTAGTCCTTATAAAATACTGAAACAGAGTGGTAATGGCAGTAGGAAAAGTATAGTTTTGTTATGGGTGGGACATTTGCATAGTCTCACAACCAGTAGATTTTTCCTTCTAGAATAAATAATATTAGGAAACAGCTTGTTTTTTAGCTTTCTCACTGTACTGCTGAAGTTACTTTTTTTCTTTAGTTGCATATTTATAGGAGAAATTAAAAATTTAATGACGTAAAAGTGACTTTCACAATCTTAATTTAGGACAAAAATCATATGTCTTAACTTTTCCCAATGGAAGTTATATGCCACTCTATGTGTGTGTTATAGTAATATTTTATCCTTACCTTGTCATATGCATTTTGACTGCTATAACAGAAATAGCATAAACTGGGTGGCCTACAAACAGCAACATTTTACTTGTCACTGTGCCAGAGGCTGGAAGGCCATATCAGGGTGCCAGCATGGTCAGGTGCTGATGAGGACCTTCTTCTGGGTTGCAGACAGCCACCCTTTGGTTGTATCCTTTATGGTGGAAGGCGAGAGGGAGCTCTGTGAGGCCTCTTCTGTGAGAGCACTAATTCTAATCGTGAGGCCAGAGCCTAAGCTCTTCCAAAGGTCCCACCTCCGAATACCGTCACTTTGGAGAGCAGGATTTCAACATATGAATTTGGGGGGCGGGGGGCATAAACTTTCAGACCATAACATACCTTAGTTGAAGTAGTTTTGGGGGAAAAAAGGTAAGTGGCATGTGCATGTCATTATGCTACTCAGGACCCTATAACCGTACTCTATTTCTCAATTAGGGTTTTTTGAGGCATAGGCATAAGGCATACCTTTCAGAGCACTTGGAATTTGGTTTCAATAGCTTCTTGAGCAGTCTTCTAAAAAAAATACAGCTCCATTCTCCACTTTGGGGATTTAAATAAATAATGGATACTCTTTAGCTTATATCATCTCACTAGAGTTAATTTGTTAACTGGGGAGCCATTGTTAGCCAAGCTTCCCGCAAAGGCTGCAGGGTGGATGCCCCATTATCATTATATCCTTGTCTTCTAAATAGGACCATAATTGACATTGCAGGTCAAGCACATTTCTGCCTCTGGCTACTTTGGTTCCTGGGAAGGCCAAGTGAGAGAGAGACTCTTTTGAAGCCAACAATCTTAACTCTTAACAAAAGTCAACCTAACTTAAATTTTAAGGTGCTTATCATTTAAAAATCAATTAAAAAAACAAGGCTTGTATCTCTGAACACAAAGGGTAGTATAAAAGCCGTGTGTGTGGGTGTGTGTGTGTGTGTGTGTGGTTTTGACTCATTACTAAAAATGATCACTTTGGAAAAAAAAAACACATGTAGAATTGAAGCAGTTGAAAATTAACTCAGCCTTTAAAACGTTTGTGGGTCCTGGGGACTGTCAGTGACCCCTCTCTCTACCCCTTCCTGAGTCCTCCATAGGAACCACTCAGATGAACCCTCATGAATTCCTGTGATTGAGGAGGAGGCCAGAAGAAAGACCTTTAGTCTCCACAAAATTGGGCTATTTCTGCAAAGAAACAATTATTTGGCATCTTAGTAATATCTTTGTAGTTAGTATCACATGAGATCCTTGCAGCATCAGCAGAACAGTCATCAGGTCATCCAGTGTTGTTAGGAAAATTACAGTAATCACTTTGTCCATCATGTACCTAAATTATAGCAAGGAAACACATGTTAACATTTCCTCCCAGTGAAAGCCTGTGGGAGGGGCTGAGAGACTGTGTTAATGTACATGATACGTTGGTACCCTGGAAACACAATTAGGTAGTTACAGATAGTTACAGGTTAAAAGATAGGGTGAAATAGGAGTGAAGAGTCCTGGCTGTTGTAGTTTGCTGATGGGGTGGGGGTATGGTGGGGCATAGTATTAATCTCTACTGTTGCAAATGTCAAGGAAAAGCTAAAAATATTTCCTAAATCTAATAACAACTAAAAATAGTTACTGAGATTTTTCTTTGCTAGGGAGATCTTACTGGTTAGGCCTCCTCTGACTCCCCTGAATGAAATACATCTTGCTATTGTCACTCTGTCCCTTACTCTTATGGTTTTACTTCTTAGCTCATCCTGTGTGTGTGTGTGTGTGTGTGTGTGTGTGTGTGTGTGTATTTATTTATGTGTACACTCTCATTTGGTACCTGCCTGCCTCACTAGAAGACAACCTCCAGGAAAGCAGGATCTGTGTCATTTTGTGTGTCACTGTTTCATGGGGAGCCAAGAGCAGAAATAGGAGTTCAATAAATATATATTGCATGAATGCGTAAAATGAATGGATGACTGATAAATGCTGGACTACTTTATTCTTTTATTTTGTTTTAGTTGCAGAATTAAGAAAAATCTTTGAGCCAGAGAGGAAAGAATTTTTAAAAATGAAAAGGTAAGTTATATATTGTATGTAATTTGCAAGTAGAAGAGCTTGGCAAAGCAGTATTCAGTTTTCCCTTAGAGTTGATTTCCATTGTTTTTTTGTTCTGTTTTGTTTTGTTTTTTTGTGTTTTGCTCAGAAAAGAAAGAATCGCCAGGCGCTTAGAAGGAATTGAAACGGACACCCAGCCCATCCTCTTGCAGAGTTGCACAGGGTTAGTGACTCACCGGCTGCTGGAGGAAGACACGCCCAGATACATGCGAGCCACAGACCCAGCCAGCCCCCACACGGGTGAGCATCCCTGGTGGCCATCATCAGGCAGGCTGCTCCAGCATAGCCTTTTTGTCTAATGGGATTGGAAAGTGAGATACTCTAAAAAAATAATTGTGTAGGTGTAGTTACTTACTATTACACATATTTGTTAAAAACATCAACAACACATTTATGTCCGCCCTCACAGGACTGGTTGAGGGCAGCTCCTGTGTTGAGCGTCTGCCCCCTGGTGCTCAGTGCGTGTCATAGCAACTGGTCATTCCGCCTGTCATTCCCTTGTTTGGTCGATTTGCATGTTAGAGTTCTATTATATAGGATGGCTTCTGGTTTCTCCCCCAGAAAGGGGTGTTGGTCTCACTGCATGATGTTATTGGTTTGCATATCTCTATAGTTTCTGATCTTTTATGGCAAGAAAACTAGAGAACTAAGATTTTAAAAATTACATACATGAAAAATCAAAAATAGAGTACCAAGTTTATAGCCAGAAATAAACCCTCCTGTATAAAAGGTTAAGCTATCTATAATAATAAAAGTGTAATATGCAAATTAGACTGGACATTTTTCCAGAGGAAGTCAGGGCTATGAGGGAAGCCCGATCCCTGGTGCTGGCCGGCAGCCGGAGGCAAGCCCGGGTCCCGGGTGCCTGCCAGCAGCCGGAGGGAAGTCTGGTTCCCTGGTGCTGGAGGGAAGCCTGGGTCCCAGGTGCCAGAGGGAAGCCGGTTCCGGCAGCTGGGTGAAGGAAGGCATGAATTTTGTGCATCGGGCCTCTAGACTATATAATAAAAGCCTAAGCGACCATTATGGCAGAACTACCAGAATGACCAGTCACTATGATGCACACTGACCACCAGAGGGCAATGCTCAATGCAGGAAATGCCCCCTGGTAGTCAGTGTGCTCCCATGAGGGGAGTGCTGCTCAGGCAGAAGCCAGGCTCACAGCTGGCAAGCGCAACGGTGGTGGTGGGAGCCTCTCCCGCCCCATGGCAGCACTAAGGAGCAGTGAGCAGGCAGGCATTCCCCGAGGGGTCATGGACAGCGAGAGGGTGCAGGGCGGGCTGAGGGATTCTCCCCTTAGTGCAAGAATCTCATGCACCGGACCTCTAGTCCTGTCTAATAATAGACAAACATGGTAATTAACCGTACCTCCTACACACTTCCCATTGGCTAATCAGGGCGATATGCAAATTAACTGCCAACCAAGATGGCGGCCGGCAGCCAGGCAGCTGAAGCGAACAGGAGGCTTGCTTGCTCCAGTGATGGAGGAAGCCAAGGTTCCCCGCCTGCCGCTGCTGGCCTCTGAGCTGCACTCTAAGAAACAATGTTGCAATTATAGAAGCTAAACAAACCCCAGAAACCTGCTTTCAGCCAGCCGGGCCTCAGAGCTGGAGTTGCAACAGTGTTTCAATTATAGAAGCCAAACAAACCCAGATACCTGCTTTCAGCAGCCGAGGTCTCAGAGCTGAAGCCGGGCGTCAGAGCTAAAGCTGGCTCTCAGTTCCAGTGACAGCCATAGAAGGTAAATAAATCTCAGAATAAAAAAAGAAAAAAGAAAAAAAGGAGAGGTTGGGAGCTTCAGTCACCCGCCAGCCTGAAAACGGCCCT